TGATCTTAAGGTCCTTTCCAACCCTAACTTTATTCTATGATTCTATGAGTAATCTATTAATTTTTAGAACTATTAATTTTAATAGTTCTGATATTAATTCATTAAGAACCTGAAGAATCACTAATTTTAATCACAACTGAGATGATATCTGGGTCTTTAATAATGAATAAATTCCTCCTCATAACTACAGACCTTACTCTCATATCGTTCACCTCAGAAAGACATCCTATTTTTCTGAAGACCTCCATTATTGAAGATCCATACTAGAAAAATATAATTCTCAATAACTATCTACAGATTTGTGGATTGTTTAGAGAAACAATTCCTGATAAAACAGCTGCATAAAATATGGGAAAGTTCCTTATTCATCACATTCTGGTTTTGAAAAATGATGGGTGGTTCAAATCTGGCTTCCATTTCTCTAAATTTCCTAAATATGGAGTTGAAAAGAAGTGGTTCAAGATGAGAAGTTCTGTTTTGATGTACTTCTAGGAAAAAAAGAAAGTAGTATTCCAACTGCAAGAGATGTGTCATCACAGTTATGAGACAAAGGAAGTAAGGAAACATGGATTTTAATTTACATTTTTCTGTTTTGCTTCACTTTTCACCTACTTCTTTCCACCAACAAATCCAGTACTAATTCCTGCTACTTCAGTTGCAACATGGGGCAATGAATCAAGATAAAGCAATAAAACTGAATTTAATTAGAATTCTTAGAAGGCCATTCTCTGGTTATTACAATTTGTGTGAATAGCACTCTGCTCTTGAGTGCGGAATAACACTTTGTTCTTGAGTATCAAAACAATTGCCTTTGTGAAATTATTACTGATGTGTTTTGGTCTCCAAATTTGTACCTGATGCTTGCTGTTGTAAACTGACTTGCTTTTCAACATTTTAGCCAACCAGTCATAGGGTATTGCATCTGACTTAGGCATGTAATTATGCAACAAGACTAAAAAGAAAGCAAATCATAGAATCATAGAATAGTTAGGGTTGGAAAGGACTTTAAGATCATCTAGTTCCAACCCCCCTGCCATGAGCAGGGACACCACACACTAAACTATGTCACCCAAGGCTCTGTCCAGCCTGGCCTTGAACACCGCCAGGACTGGAGCATTCACAACTTCCTTGGGCAACCCATTCCAGTGCCTCACCACTCTCACTGTAAAGAACTTCTTCCTTATATCTAACCTAAAGTTCCCCTGTTTAAGTTTAAAGCTATCCCCCCTTGCCCTACCACTACCATCCCTAATGAAGAGTCCCTCCCCAGCATCCTTGTAGGCCCCCTTCAGATATTGGAAGGCTGCTATGAGGTCTCCACACAGCCTTCTCTTCGTGACTAGGAAACAGAAGCAAAATAATTTTCTAGCTGGTCTTGCAGGAACAGTGTTCATTAGCAGAAACAGAGAATGGTTCAAAAACAATTTGCTAGCAACAAGGGAATTCTCTCCAAAACACAAATCCAGAAATATGAACTGAAAAAAGTCAATTAGCATGAAGAGGATCTGGGGAATTTTACTCTTCCCCAAATAACTTCTTTGTTTAGGAGGATGTGATGTGTTGTGGCCTTGCTTTGGGCATTCATTTCAGAGAGGGATTACAAATTACCTGCAGTGCACAATGACAGGCCCTCTGCCCGGTGATTCCACCCTGTCCTCTTCTACATCCAGCATGAGCTGCAGCAGAGGCTGAGCACTGTCAGGGGTTTTGTGGTCCGGCCAGGATGTGTACCAGTAGTGTTTCACACTCCGGGACTGACTCCCTTGCTGAAATTAACATGCAGATTTTATAAGCACACTGGTAGTGAACAATTCTTTTTATTTTTCTAATGTTATAGTAAAAAGACAGTAAAAATGCTAAGAGAGATTTAACTTGTTTCTTTATTGGACTCTGAGGATGCAATTGTAGGTAACAGGTGTGCTTCCAGGCACCCAATTGTAAGAAGGGTTTTGTGCACCTGAAAACTTTTCTGATTTTCCGGCTAAGTTCCACTCTGTCCATCTGACTGCTGACCTGCTGACTGTTGTTGTCAATTGGGAATTGCCAGAGGTCTGCGTTAGATCAGTAAGAAGATCTAGAGAGATTAGCTTGATCCGGGCTTCTCCTACTTATTATTTATTTCTGCTGCCTTTTAAGGACATCATCATAAGGGTCTGATACTAAAACTACAAGAGTATTTAAGTTAAAGGTGCAGAAGAACTGCCCTCCCAAATTAATCAAACACCTCGGTTTGTCCAGTTATTCTCTCCAAGAGAGGCTGCTACCATTTCAACAAGCAAAGGAGCTAAATATGGGCTACTGTAATTTGTGTTGGACATTATGACTTATGCCCACTTCTTAATGCCTGGGCTGAAACACCAAACAAATTTTCCTAGTTCATTACTGATTGTAATGCTTTGCCAGCAGAAAGAACAATCCAAAAGCACATAAGTGTAATATGGGAAGTAACTCAGAGAAGGAGCATCTGCCTTATTTTACAGAGTTAATGTTTAGTCAGAACCATTAAAACGTGAAGCTTTCCTTATACACTCCTTATATTTTTAGTTTCTCAAATGGGCTATGGATGCAGTCAGCACACAATACAAGCAGCTTATCTTTTTCAGAGTGATGCTATGCTAGTTCGTTCATTAACTAAAATCCCTTTACATTGCTTTGGCCATGCTTAAAAGGCCTCAAAGCAAATGTAATTCAAGGGAGTGGAACTTGCACTCTTTTTGAAGACTTTTTTATTGTCAGGGTGATACAAAGCAGCAGTAGGGTAAGTGTTGCAGTACTTTGGTCTCAATCATATCTTGCAGCTGTGAGCTTCATAGCTCAGTTACTCCTTCTGTAAAAATTTATGACCCTTAAAACCAGCTTTTTAACTTCATTAACATTAAAAAAAGACAGTAATAGGAACAACGCTTCTTGGATGCAGATTGTTACCTTTATTGTAAGCTGACGGATAGTATAGTTCTTGCATTCTTGCACACTGTTAACAAGGACTTCCACCTTCCCATAGATTCCTCTTTTTTCTGGCCAATAAAGCACACATTTCTGGAAAGCAAGCATCAGTGTCATCAACAAGCTGGATCCTGGACCCATATTCATATCTAATTTTTACATAGAATGTATTTGTCTGGAAAGTTCGGATGAACTCAACCAAGGTGTTACTCATGTCAGAAGCATACCCAAATAGGACATTGCAGGGTTCTTAAAGAATGACTTAGGCCTGATTTTCAGGATCTGAGTGTTTCAAATATGGATCTCTATCACTGACCACTTTGAACAGCTGTTTTTATTCGTAAAAGGTCAATGAAATTCAGTTAAAGGAATTATTTTCCACATTCAAAATTAAAGATTTCTTTTTCCTAGAAAATTCTTTAATTCATAGAATTAAATTTATAAAGTTTACTCTTTCCAAATGAGATTTTCTTCTGCGCAAGAGATTCAGAGTTTGTCCTCTCCTTACAAGACTTTCTATATTCTTTACTCTCCTGAGTGCTGATACAACAAAGCATGTAAATGTGCCCTTAGATCTTACTGAATTCAATGGGACTTGATGTGCATGTTAAGGTATATTGCAGAATTGGAGTTGTCTACTATATAACTTACTGGAAATGAAAGTTAAAAAAAATCTACCAGTCTTGCTAGAGCTACACAAAATTATATACAGAGTTCTTAATGAATCAGTAGTGTTACAGTATTTCAGCAATGTACCTGATAAGCATCTACTAGAAAGGAGATGAAGAAATAGTACCTACAATACGAACCATTTTATTTTTCCCTTGCAATAGTTTGCTTATCTTCAAGTCAACTGCAGCTTCACATTCATTTCCATGAAAGTATCTCTATAGTCTACCTGAAAGCAAAGCATCCCTGTCGTATAAATACTTTTCTAAAAATAGATGCTTATTATCTTAAGAGCGTAAGGTGTTTGAAAGCCACATTTTCTGAAATAATGCTGGCCAATCTGACGTGTTCATTCAATAAAAAGAACCCCAATAATTAAAGAAAATATTCTTTTTAATATCCAGTGCACAAGTAAAAAAAACCCAAACCCCAAATGCCCAGAAAACACAGTTCTACAGTAATAGGAATCCCCGAAAAAATTGTTTGTATTTCCTCACAAACTCTTGCTGAAGAAACTAGTACATATTTAGACAGCAGTCTACATTACACAGCTAAAAGAAACAATGCCTTCAATATAACTAATTGCCATAAAGCATAACTCCCAGTAAATCATGCTAAAAATGATCCAAAATTAAATATCAGTGAAATGCAAGGCTTTACTGCCAGGTGTGATCTTTAAGCTGCTACTCGATAACACAACAGCTGACTGAACTGAATCATCTCTGTTGTATAAATACTTTTCTAAAAATAGATGTTCATTACCTTAATAGTGTAAGGTGTGTGAAAGCCACATAAAGCTGGCCAATCTGACTGGTTTCATTCAGATCCTGTCTTTTGCAGCATTACTCGAACATCCTAAATTTGCTGTCTCCCCGAAGACATCAAGAATGGCAATAAAATACTCAGAAATTTGTACGAAAAGAAAGGTGTTCACAAGTTCCACAGTCCCCCCATGTGACACATATAGCTACTATCATCTGCCAGATCTGCAATTCATGCCCCTCCCTGGGAGTGTAGTTTTCAGTGCTAACATGGGGAAAAGAAAACTCTAAATACACAATTGTACCCTGACAATCAACAATAGTTGAGTCAACCCCTGAGACTTTTTGATAAATGTGAGCATACAACACTCACTACAAAGCCTTCAGGCACTTCAGAAGAGTGTTTTTCTTGACTCTTGCCCAGAACTGGAATTGGCAACTTGCTCTGGGTGGACAATGAAATGGGGCTGTTCATTAAAATAACTTTCATTTAACAGTCTGTCTACATTTAGTGAGATACAAAGTAGTATTTTTAACACAGTCTCCGTTCATCTTTTAAAAATACCATTTGTTACTGCTTTAAAAAAAGCTTTGAAAATAGAACTGGGATCAGCTTTCTCGGGCACTTCTAAGAAGACAGATATTTGGGGGAATTAACATGTTTTCGAAAGTTAATTATAAAAAAGGGATAAAGCTGAAGATGGGAGGGATAAAGGTATCAGACATATAGAAAATAAAATAGTAAATCCCAGGAGCATTAGCAAAAATGAGTAAATTGCCTCAAGCCATTACTTGAACCTGAAAGAAAACTCCACTGGTCCCAAATAGGTATATTTTAAACCTGTTCAGAAGCCAAACAGAGTGGCTGAGAAGTCTGCTCTCTAGTCTTAGGTCTGTGATCAGTAGAAGCTTATTGCAAATAGTATGTATCAGAAAAAAAATGAAGAATTTACTTGTTCTTATCATCACATTCTTCTACCTCCACTCTTTCTGCTGGTCCTGATTCTGTTCCCTGTGCTTCTTTCAGGCCACATAGTTTCCCTTTCAGCATATTCATTTATTACAGGACTTTCTAAATAGTTCACACATTTTGTGAGCTTGGGGTTGAACATACAATCCTCTATGTAGCGAGAAAAAAACCAAAACAAAATATCCCAGACAACTTCCATGGCAGCTAAAAGCCTGGGAAACTTATTACTTCCATGCGGAAATTCTAACCTTCCTGCCATCTTTCAAATTCCCCCCTCAGATTCATTTCCATTGGTTAGCTTTTTGCTAATAAATGGTTATTTGTTTCTGATCTGCCTCACAAAAATGACATTCCCTGACCCAAGCAGGAAGTTTATACAAGAAACAGTATCTCGCATGACCTTTAATTGATTTCAGCCTTTGTCCTTCCCCCTGCGACAGGTCTGCAGGCTTAGGCTCCCCCCATCCCCTGTTCTGTCTCCTTGCATGCCCCATCCCACACCCACCAGGTGCCAGGCTTCATGGGACTGCTCCTGAGGTGGATCTCTGTAACTGAGTAGGATTTGGCCCTGCCTTGAATTGTGGCTGGCACCTGCCAGAGCATTTGCCAGAAGTGCTCCTGTTGCAGCCTAGTCCCCCCATTCTGCCGAACAAGGGGCCTCTCAGCTGATCTGTTATTTACCTGTATTACTTTCCCTGGATTTGGACCCTGAACAAAAAGAATTTAACAATTCTCAAATATTTGTGAAGTTGCTTACTTTGGCTGCTTATTTTTCCATACAGCTATGCCAACAAATGCACATATTATGTGTCCCAGTAACCAGGCCAACACACAATAGTAATAAATAATTATAACAAAGCTCCAATTCCAGAATCCCTTTTTACTCCTGCCCTCTATTTACTGTCACTGCTAACTGAATCATGAGGTATACTTTAAAAGGGCTTGCACAATTTGCCTTCATGTACTAAAATCCTCAAAACTAGGACCAAATCTTAAGTTTTTCCAAAACCCAAGGCATATCTATGGTACCAATACTCAACTAATAAGCAATCTCCAAAGAGGCTTAGACAAACACTGTAAAAGGTAGGATTTCTGAGTTCCATAGTCTATTTTTCTGCATGTAGATAAGCATGCTGATAAAGTGAGGAAAAAAATGTTCCATGAAGAACAATATGAGCTTTAAACAGTGAGTTAACAAGATTGTCCTAGATAATTACTGACAACAAGATTTACGTTATCTGAGTTGAATAAACATGCATTGTTTAATGCATCAGTCGGTACTAGTCCTTTCTTCTTGTAGAATGCCACACAGTATTCTTTCTTTATGCTTCCCAAAATATGTTTCCTGGTTAACAGGTCATGTTGCTAGTAAGCTTTTAAGGCAAACTAAATGGATATTAGCTATGGAGTACATAGCATAATTACGAAAAACAGCTGATACAACAGAAGTCTATAAATTTCTCTGTAAAATTATATAGAAGTTTATAAAATTCTTACACTCCACATATTTATCTAAATTCCAGTTGACTAAATTCTGTAATATATGAAGTTTGCATGTGCCTCAGGGATAAGCTTTGCAATAACCTGTCCTAAAATATTACTACAGAATTAGAGACAGTCACCTTCAGTGGGTGATTTATTTTGTTCTCTTTAGAGTGGGATGGGTCACTCTGTGGAAGTGACTACTGCTCTTCAGTGACCATGAAGGGTACCTAAATCACTAGATGAGATGTGATTTTCCTCATATTAACCCTAAAATTATAGCCTAGAATTCCAAGTTTCTCATTATTTGTGCAGGCAGAAGCTCCTTTCTGTGGACTCTCCTTGCACGGGTAGATTTCCAATTTGTTCAGACATTGTGTAGTGTTGAGGGCAAGTTTTACAGATTCTGCTTAAAATACCCACAGCACCCATAGTTCCTTCAGCATTATTCTTGCTTACAAACCAATCTCCTTTTTTTTATCAGTCTTTAAAAAGAAAGAAAATCCAGTAATTGAATGCTCCATGTTTTCTTCATACAGCTGAAATGAGTATTTTGCACAGCGCTCTACTTTCATATTATATCTTCATCCATCTTACAAGAACTGTTACTGCAGCAAGTCTTAACCATTTTTTCCTCTCATGGAAGGAAGTAACTCTACAGAAACTTTTGTTTATCAACATTTCACACAATTCCCATTTTGATTGCAAATTCATCACGAGTATACTGCACTAGGACACTAATGTCCCAAGTAATTTTACTTATGCTAAATAAATGAATTTGTTGTTGAGATTAAGGATTTTTGTGTGTCTCTCATTTGAGAGCTCCCTCGTTACACATTACTTTAGACATGATAGTACATTATAGCTCAAATAGAGGCTGACTGATGTTACACCAACTGAGGAATAAGGCCTGTAACTGATAGTCAGGGGTGGATGTGGATGAGTATGCTTTCAAATATGAAGGAATTTGTATGTGTGTATGTTGCAGATGCACTTCTCTGAAAATGATGGAAATAAAGCAGACAACAGAGAAGAAAAAAAATATCAACTGCTATTATGCTAAATAACATCTGCTCTTACCTTCTCTATAGAAAGCACAGCCACTAGCTAAGCTGTTTCCTTTCCAAGAGCAAGCAAGGTTTCAGGAGGATCCCGCTAACAGCAGGAGAGTTTCTAGGGTTTCTAGACAGGCCACGACAGCTTGTGCAAACACAGCCTCTCTATATAGCCTGGGAACGATTTGAGATTCCCCACCCTTTCTATTAGGAGGAAATTACCACTGCCAGGCCACAACAATGCGGATAAACACCAATGCCTAGAGCCTGCGTAACTCAGGTAAACACAGGGCTTCCTGACATGGTGGAAACCACTGGGCACTTCTTTCAAGTCATTCTTCTTACACAGTGTCAGATGTGAGTGTTTAAACAGTCAGCATTTCCTCAGTGAAATACTTATCCTTTTGGCCTATTAGGCCAGGGTAAATTTTCTATGTTTTCAGGAGTAATCTTTTTAACATAGGCTTCTGGACACTTGTTTGAACAGTCTAGTGCAAAATGCCACCCGGTTTGGAAATATGGCTTGGGATATCTTACAGGACTAACCTTCTTTTTACACAGAGCTTTCTTAAAATCCACTGGATTTTAAGTTCATGTTAGAAGCCCAAACTCATGGTGACAAAGAGCCAAGCAGCAGTCAAGAGCAGAAGAAAGAAGAGAATGTCTACTGAGTCCACATTTACATGGGGCAGTGAGTTTGAGCCCTGGGAATGCACTCAGGATCTCAGTCTCCTGACCACTCAGACTGTGAACTTTGCCTGAATAAACTCTCTTTCTCCATCATCACATGTGTCTGAATTTGAAGAGCAGGGCTGTGAGTGAAGCCAGGGCAATATGGTCCTGGTGCTTGCCTGGCAAGGTCCTGAGATCTGGTTGAGGTACCTAACTGGAGTTGGGAACTGATACCATCTAGCAGTTTAGACTCAAGAAAAAAGTCAAACTCCTTCATGTCTGTCTCTCTCTTGTCCACAAGCCTTGTAAACCACTTCTTTAAAGTTCATTCTTCCCGAACACAGCTTTGTGTTGGCCCTTTGCAAGGGAGAGTGATTTTTGTTCCTAATGTACAGCAGTCACAAATATGGACTCTGGCACTATTAAGGAAAACCTGGCAACAATTTATATGAATACTATATAAAGCTATTAAAGATGTAGTTCGGAATTGATCCAAAAGTCACATATGCATAACAGGCAGTTAGATGGCCATTAGCAATTAAAATACAATTGTCATCTCTACTTGGTACTAAGGTAAATAGCCACATATTTTCATTCTGGCCAAGTCCCTCTCGCGGTATTGGCATCTGGGAGCCAAAACTGTATTTCTGGAATGGTCCAGAAGATTTGTAATTTCTGGAGTGGATTCAAAACCTGCTATTATAGCAAAGTGAAAACTTCGACCATGTCAGGAAACCTCTAACTGTAACACTAACCATCTCATCTTTATATACCAAAAATTAACAAGAAGTACAGAGGTGACCAACAGTTAAATGAGGTGTTTCTTAAAAAATTATGAAGCCAACAGCACACATCTAGAAAACGAAATTACTTTTTGTCTTTTTTTTTAAATACAGCTCTTATGATGGCTATGCAATTGCAGTTGGTGCATTTGGCTACCCCTACATTACTTATCACACTGCCCATTACCAGATTATTTAAGAGCCAGTTATCTGCTAGGTTCCTTCCATATCTGCTAAGGTTCTTTCTACAGTACGCAGCCATAGAAATAATTTCTCAGTTTGGCTAGTTGTCATACCTCATTTTTTTCTTTCAGCTTTGTGATCATAACAATGACAGGGCTGTCTTCTTGCCAAACCATCTGCCAGAAATCATTCACGGTATTAATCATGGGTCCCTGAGTTGCAATGAAAGCCTTCTCTTTACCTCCATATCCCTGGTTTAGAAACAGACACAAAAGCATTTACTTTAAATCCATGTGGTCAACCAAAATTGCAGGTGGATGTTCTAAAAGAGTAGAAAATTTAATCTGGAATTTAAAAAAAACCAAGTTAGTTGAACTGAAACCAGTTATGACTAAGAGTAGAGCAGATCAGAAATTGTTCAGTATAACAGTTTTTCCTCTCGAAACTGGATGGGCTGAAATGGTCCTGAGAATGCATCAGTCCCTCTCAAATTTCCCTGCTTACTTGGCTTCTTCTAGCTTACTCTGTTCTCCAAGTTTTTGGGGCTTTCCATCATCCAGTGGTACTTTAATCCATACTGCTGCAGTGTTTACAAGATAGTTTATAGTCAACAAGCCACAGGAAAAACATGAGAACTATGAAACTGGTTTCTATGAAGATTCATAACAGGAAAAAAGATTTAAAATACATGAATGCTTGTGGAATCAAAGACTCTGCTATATATCTTTGCTAAGGGAGAAGCACCTTTATGAGACCCTATAGGAAGGCTGGCATATCAGCATAGGGAGTACCAAGACACACAAGTGTACAGAAGGTCAAAGAAATGTCAGGCAAACTGCAGGGAAGCAGAGGAAAGGGAAAGGCAATAACTGGTATCTCTTTCACTGTTAAAAGGTAACTCTAATTTCCTTACTATAAGGCAGAAAGACAATATTAAAAGGTAAATACTGATGTAAATAAATAGTAATGTATGTGTTTCTTAATATTTTTATAAACTATTTGATAAATTGTTTTCTTACAGCAATCATTTTAGTACATTCATGGCTATGTGGTCTTTGTTACAAATAGCTCATGAAACTACTACTGTCATACCAATGTAGACAAAAAGATTAGGAATTATCAACGAAGATGGGTAGGAATAAAATGAGCGGCACCTTGGCAAAAACAGGTATTCACTGGAAAATCAAATATTGTTTCAAAAGCACATGAAGAGTGTACGTTTACTTACCCTAATGTAGTTAGCATTTATGTAGGTACTCAGGGAGTCAGATGGATTTTTTGGTTTCAAATACACTCTGCTTAGAGGATCTAAGAGCACAAGGAAGATGGAAATTGAAAAGAAAATCTGTAATTAGAAGGTTTCTCTAGAAAATTGAAGACTTTTTGAAGAAAATAATCTACTGTTCTTTGGGGCTGTCAAGCACTAAAGTATTAGGCACACAACTCTTTCCTCTGCAAAGGATCATTGTGTGTAACTAAGGTAACCTGTATGCACAATGCTGGCTGTGAGAAGTATCCCAGCTAGCTGTGGGCATTGAAGCAACACTATCAGGTCCAGGCAATATCCAGCAAGGTTTAGTCTGCCTATGCTGAGTATCATGCTGACCTGCCTAGACTGTCTCTGAAACTTGTGTCATATCATTTTATGATGCTAGATAAATACGCCAAGTCTTTTGGGTTCAAGTTTGATATCTTTGCCTGAAGTTGTACTGTTCTAATGACTACAGTTGGATTTACATCAAGAAAAGCTTCCTCTCCCTGGGATGAAATCAGCTATGTGTTTTTATACTAATTTAAGTTCACTGTAATGTGCTGGACCAGGTAATACCTATCCTTCCCTTCAGTCCTGTGTTCCATATGATGCAACCTGTGACCATTCATGTGTACCAGGCCGGAGATGCAATGTCAAAATATGGGAACATTTTCCTTCATGCTCTTCTTTCCTTCACTGTCTTGAATGATCTAGAACAGAGCAGGGCCCAGCATTATTGAGTATAGAGCTGTGGGTTTCTAAATGCCCCTTGCAAAGAAAGCTTTTGTGTGCTCATTTGTGATGCTGTGATTCTCCATATATTAATTACCCTTTTGGAATTAAAGCCAGTAAATTCTCAATTGCACAGCATAACAGAAGGGGATAAGGAGGTGGGGAATGAGGTGCCTATGTTGTGGCCATCTAGGGACACACTTTGGCTCTCATCACACCTTTTCTGAAAAAAAAAAATTCTACTGTTAACAAAATGATATGAAATATTTCTGTATTGAAAAACAATACTTTGGCAATTTGCTAAAATAACTTTTGACAGTTTACGAGACATCTATTGGTTTGGAAATAGTCTCTTGACAGCTGCTTTGCTGAGTGCAATCTCAGCAATTTCTTCAAAGATACACATGTGGATGCTGAACTGGAGAGTTGTAAGACAACACTATTATGTGGCCGTGCTGTTTACACAAGAATTATATAATTTATGCATATGTAGTAGCAAAAAGGGATATTTTCAGAGCTGATTTTGGATTCCTTTTGTTACTTTTCATCCTGTTCCTAAGAACAAGATAAAACCTTTGCAAATCAAAGGAAGAGGGGGGATGATCTCAAACATACTGTATGTCATTTTCCCACTGGAGGTCATAGGAGTGTCTCGGACAGGAGTGGAGCCTTTGCAGGACACAGGCTGGTGTTCTGAAACACGTTTCTTAAAATGTGCAAACGAATGTATGACTTCTAGTTCAAAGTCTGTGTGTGGAAGTCTTGTCCTCTCTATTAACAGCACTACATGAACCCTAGTTAGCTTGTGTTAAAATCTCTTTGTACTAGCTTTCCCAACTTTTTCACTTTTTTTCCCCCTTTAACAATATGAGGACAGGAAACCTCTCATTCCTTTTCAGTACAGAGTGATTATTAGCCATTTCCACAAATGCCTCAGGCTACGTGGCCTTGAAAAAACACCCGCTTCCTCTAACTCACACAATGCCTCTTGATTCTGGTGTAGCTTGACCCCTACCTCAAAAACCCTCTTCCAAACAGACTCAACATCCAGTTTAATTACTATGTCTTAAGATAAATCCTTCTGATACTAAGGAGCAGCTAAATCAGTTTCATAATTTCTGAGACCTCCTTCCAACTCCAATCAACGAAACAAACACTGCTTCCGGATGGGAATCTTTTCTAAATTAACAGTCCTGATCCGTTGTGAAATAGGCAAGTGCTATAAACTCAGCCCCGAAATGAGGAAAACCTGAGTGCCCTTAAGCATCCAGAGCCACTAAGCAATCATCAGACACAAATGGAAGTAATTTGCTTCCTCCTGAATGACAAATACCTTGAAGGTAATAATCTTTTCCTCAAAGATGACAAAGTCTGAGAGTCTGAAGCTGCATCAGAAAGACACAGATGGTGGCTGCAAGGCTGAATTCATCAATCTTTGTAAAGCAATCTTGAAATGCAGCAGAGCTGTTAAGCACTTTTAATTACTAATAAAAAATGTCTCCTGCAATTCTGACTGAGGCAAAATTACTGCTGTTTTCTTCCATGTATCTAGGAAGTCTGGGATAGTTCTCCCATTAGAATAGAAGCAGCTTCCTCTAACTCCATCTTTAAAAGATTGATATTGAACTGTATTTACCAGGCTGAGGAAAAGGAAGAGGTAAAAGTGGTTGGAGCTTGCCAACGTGAGATTGCCCAGTGCAGGCAACAAGGAGAGCTATAAAGTGGCACTGCTGGACAGCCTCCCCAGCTGCCAGCAATGCTGGAGATTCATCCACTTCATGAACTCCCCCTTGTCATGAAGACATGAGGCTTTGTCCCATTGCAAAGGCTGTGTTCATTTTACAGTGGGCATGATGTGCTGTGGTTGTTTTCTTCTTTTGACTGCTACTATGTTCTGAATTCATTAGGCACACGTATGTTCACGTTCATAGCATTTCCATGATAAGTCATTTGTAACTCCCAGTCCAGTCCTAGTTGCCTTACCAGCAGTAGGACTGAAGTATTGTGAGAAGGGCTGTCCTCAAGATATGTCTGTTTTGTGAGCAGGAAAGGAAGATGAAAACTTTGTGAGGCAGACTGCTCTCACACTTGCTGCCCAAAAGTTCGTAAATCTTTCAGATATTGAAACATTTTGAGATTCATCCACCCCTATTTTGCCTGGTTTTGTTTGCAGTCAATAAATGAATTACAGATACTGGTATTATTTGGTAAACACTGTTAAAGCAGAATACAGAAGAATCATACCAGACTGCATTCCTAATCTCTGCCAGGTGGGGATTAGGCTATTAGAATAGGCAAATAACACAACTGCATTTTAATAAAAATGCTTCAGCGTGACAAAATTTTACTCATGCAAAGAGAATTTTTTTTTTTTATCTACTAGAAATAAGGTTGCCAGATATCCACTTACATTTTTAACTATGCAGTATGACATAGATAAATGTAATACTGGCTATTTAGAAATATTATAGATGTTATGATGCTGGTGACCACAACATTTTGTCAACTCACACAGATATACAAAATGCTTTGATGAAACCATGTTGAATAAAACCCATGTTGAAGATTAAACAGTTTTTCTCCTTCTGATCTGTAAATATGATTTTTTTCTTTACTTTTTGAAACTTGCTGGTGATCTTATTGCTGCAAACAAGACTGCAGCAAACATGATTGTTCGTAGTCAGGACTGTAGTGCAAGGGAGCTGGAAAATTCTCAGCATTGAATGGTTCTCCAGCATCTGTCCATAAGCTTGCATAATAAAGTGCTTCGTTCATGCAATTTAGATTTAACTCCCCCCTGGTCTTTAGCTGGAGAGTCAGAGGCAGTTTTAGCACAAGTGCTTCAAGCAACAGCTTGTGGTTTGTTGGTCTGACCTGCCAAGTGATTCCTACCTTCATGTTACTGTGCATCTGCTGTTCTGCTGCAAGTGTTTTCATAGAATCATAGAATAGTCAGGGTTCATGTAGGCTTTTGCCCTGAGGGTACTCTTCAGAAAGGGGTAAGGAGTAACATCCAGGTACCTTGGATGTGTTGCACACATGGAGACACCTGTAGTGTTAAGCCACTTGCTCCTTTGTAAGCAAGAGCCCACACATGCCCTGAAGCACCATGGGAATTCTGCTTCTGGTTTGAGGGGGAAAAGTGAGGTAGGAACAGGAAAAGAATGGCTCTGAAGCTGAGGTCCTGCTGCTGGCACATGTAGCAGAAGCTGCTGGAGACAAGCAGGCAAAGGTGAAGATGTGGAGTAAGAGGATGAGGAGGGAGCAGCAGGGCTGGTGTTCTGCCACAGGGATGTGACTGTGGTGGGAGACTGGGAAATCCATGTGTATGACTGGAAACTGGCTCAGGGAGAGTGCAGAGGGAATGCAGCTGAAGATACGGAGTGGGGTTTAACAATGACTGGGGTTGTAGTCAGGAGGGAGGATGGAGAAACAGTGATTTTAAGGGACTGTTTTAGCCACTTGCTTCTGATCCCACACTGTCCCCTCCTTAGTTGTATGAGAATATATGTAAGTGCATATATATATATGCATGTATAAAGCAAGTAACACCTAGAAAACTCAGAGGCCTCCCATGCCTCTTTGCCATAGCTGACGCTCTTGTGCCTGAAGAGGCATAAGGGTGTTGGCTATGTTATACTACAATCGAAACATCTTTCATGTAATGTAACATTTCCTGCCTTTTATAGTTTTCCATATAGAATAATTTTCATTAGGCATTTATTTTATTTCCCATGAGTGTGTCTGGCTGGCAGTGCGTGTTAACACGAACCTGCCCTCACGCACCCTGCCCCAGAATTATCTCAGAAAATGAGAACATCCTCCACAGGGCAGAGGGTGGGGCTGGCAGGACGGGGCATTTTTAGGAGATAATCCATCAGCTCAAACGTCACTTGTCACCACAGGTGCCCTGATTCAGGAGACGCACCCAGCGCTGGAAATGGAAAAGCTGATGCGGGCATGCAAAGCAGAGGGTTGATATCATCTGAGCAGGAAACCTGGAAGGCTGTTCTATTTAATCACTCGAATCATTTCCAAACCCTCGTGGACTGGGTGTGGGGTGTGCGAGTATTTATTACGAGCATGTGCCTCAATCCACAAAATACCTTCTTTGAAAAGGCCTGGTGCTAACACACAACAGACCTTTTGATTTCTGTCAAGGACGGTTACAAAGTGCCTGTCAGTGAGTAGTTGTGGTGCGCACCAGCAGTGTGCTTGGACTGAAAATGCGCCACGGAGTTAGCAGCACGTCCCAGCTAACTGGAGGTGAAAACACAAAGGCATGCTGGTTCTCAAAGCTCATCAGCATCAACCACAGCCCAGCTGTTGTGTCCCAATTCAAAACACATGCTGCAGTGAAGTAGGACTCATCACACTTGCAAGGCATTGCTGAAGGCGATGCTGTGGCTGGGGCAGCTTGGACGCAAGATGCTATGGGAAGGGAGAACTCCTTCCAAAAATCTGCTTGTCAGGCGGAGGGGGGCTTGGTGATATCCTGGCTCCACTGCAGCTGATGGCAAGTCTTGCTGTCGTCAAAGGGGTCAGGACTTCACCCTCAGTGTACATCCTGTTAACGCTGGGCCAGATTCTAAGGGATGCTGAATTTTCTGATTATTTGGTATATAACTTGCATTCACTTACTTTCTTTAATTCTCTTCCTTCAGATGCACAGAGCTATCAGCTGCAATAGAAAAACTAACCTTGAAGACAATGGAAATTTTACTGGGGGCTGAAAGGAAGTGAGGACTCCACACGAGTTGCTTTCCCAGCTATCTACCACATTTCTGAGACTAATCTAGTGGCTGAAGGCCATCAGTTTTCATTAATTTGGCTGCAAGGCCTTTGAGTGATGTGAACAAATTACAATGCATTCAGGTTCACTGAGAAAAATCTTGTGATTTTTGAAGTGTGTGAATTTGCACGACTAACATATAACATAGGCTTACAAGGACATTATAGAGATGATCAGAAAACAAATTTCTAGTTGGTAGGATATGCTGTCATTTTAAAAGTATTCTTCATTCCAAACCTAAACAAAGGGATGGGTTTACATTTTTCTGTGGGTCTGTCTTTGAAACACTGAACTTTTTCACTTTGGTGATGTCAGAATTTATAAAATCTCAACTATTCCTGTCTATATTTAGTGCAATGTCAAAACTTATTTTGAAACTGAACACAAACCAATGTGACTAATAAAAGAGAAATAGAATATCTCATTATGCCCCAGCAAATGTTATGAGAATAGCTGCATTTCAGAGAAACGTGTATTTTGAAGGAAAACTATTCCACTGAAAAGTTTTCAACCACCTCTGATTATAACAAAGCAATTGTTACTTGGTTAGAAATAAAGAATCTGGGCCAATGAAGATACAGAAGCAGCATAGAAAAGAAGTAACAAGTTTACAACAACGATGAGGCAGCACTGTGTGAGAGTGGTTTTCTTACTAATATAAACAGATTTCACTGCAGGACAGTGTGGGCTATGATGGATGGAGGCAAGTCTTGGCCCTCTAAGCATCCAGATCAGGGGAACCACTGCAAGGCATGGTGGACCTCTCTCTACCCATCTGCCTGAGCTGTCCCCCAGAGAAAACCCAGGTTGGTTTCAGTACATGGTTGGAATGCTGCCGAAGCCTGGACCTACTAAGGCATCCAGTGAGAGTTCTGCATTTCCCAGTCCTACAGCACTGGGATTTTGTTATCTTTCTACATAGACTATAAATATGCTTGTGAATAGGTACACAATGATCAAAGATAAAGACAGCTAGATTTTCAGAGCAATCCCTTCTCAATGCAGGACAAAATGTCACCATAGGAAACCAAGGGCTAACTTACTTACTTGGTAAAATTGTTTTATAGCGGTTTTTAGTTCCATGACTCGGGATGTCAATTTCTTTGGGATCCACAAAATTCATTGGTATTTCCTATAAAAAATAAATTAAATCAGATTGGTGTTTCCAAAGGAACCATGCAGGAAATTATCACCAGAAGGCCATCTGCTGTTACACAACTGTCTTTTGACATCAAAGTTATTAAGAAAAAAAGTGGTTCCCACCTCAAGCCTGTCAACACCCTTCCTTTGATAAACACAGGGAGTTGCATTTTGAAGGGGTGACTTCCAAGGAACACTTCTGATGAATTATTAAAAGTAAAGTTTTTACAGGAACTTGAGAGAGGTTAAAATGCACAACAGTCCTAGAAAAGTAGAGTTGAAAAGTGCAGTACTGTAGCAGAAAAGTACAATGTTTTACGTAATTGGGGGAGGAACTTTTAAAATATTTAATTATTAATGCAGGCAAACATTTTTGCTTAAATTTTGTGTAAAGCCCTTAATAATGTCAAAGACTTCACTTGTTTTTTATAGAAATTGCTAGAATGAAGTGCCTTAGTATTTTGCACTCAGTGACTCAAAAGTGAAATAAAACTTTGAAGCTATTTCTCTTGATTCTCATTTTGATCTTTTAGTGACTGATCTGCATTGTCTTCTTTAAATACACAGATGTGCAAGTAACTGATGTGACAGTTTGCTTGAAGTTCCAAAAATGCACAAATTATAAACTCCTGATCAACTGAAAATTACTGTTTTTCAAACTTTTTTGTCAGAATGAAAAGTAAAAATTGTCCAATTTTTCATTGAACAAAATGTTTCACTTGGTCTAAGGGGATGAACAATAATTTCGATTTTGAGGCCCTGAAACATTGTTAGTTTTCTTACGGTTGAATAAAAACAACTCTTTGAAAATGGAAAGATGAAACATGTAGTTTGTTTTTTTTTCCCTGATTGTGGGAGATGTTTTACCAACCAAAACAATTTGGCAAAATCACATTAAAAATGCTTCAATTGACTCCAATCTTCTTTTTTTTTTTTTAATTTTGGCCATGATTATTGAAATTATTATAGGGCAAGTTGGGATTTGATCTTCAGTAAATTAATACTTCTACTTAAAAGCACTTAAAAGCACAGCCATTACTACATTACATTACATTACGTTGCTAGCCTGGGACATTTATACAAAGAGACAGCAGTATATTAAATAATTGCCTCTTACAGACACACCAGAATGGAAGGGTCCTTTGATTTGCACCACTGGAAATTTTATTGAAGGATTTTCCTCCAAAATCAGCAGGTTTCTAACTTCACAGGCACAGGCTTGCCCAGGTCTTTGGCACAGATGGATGCATGGCCACTGTCCTTCAGACCCAAGCTCTGGTCCTGCCCAGCATGACTGGCTGTTGTGGGGATATTTTGAGGAACAGGGATGAGGTCCCAAACAGCTTGCCAAGGATGCACCCAACAGCAGATCTTTACATAGGTTAACCAAGCAGGGAAAGGTACCCTCTTACTTTTCTGGCTGAAGAGAGGGCAAAATAAAGTAAAATTGAGACGGGTCATAACGAATTGCTTTGAATCTCTTCTGTTTCCCAACTTGGCTTCTGAACATTTTACTGCATGAGGCTGCAGCTTCTGTGTTGGTTTTTATTTTCCTAGGTTCTCTGCTTTATGCCCATGTGTTTAGTGGGCCTTCCTTATTCTTCCTCAGTTTCTTCTTTGGTCTCAATCTTGCTCTTTAGCTGACTCCTCGAAAGAACAACTTGCTGCCTCTCATTTCAGGACAACCAAAGTATTGCTGCTAAGATACATCTCCCTTGCAGTTACTTTACACAGTCCATTTTCAACTCATTGTACTGTCTGTGCTAAACACTGGTCTTATCACTTTTAAGACTCCATCCCTGCATAAACCTCATCCTCATTCCTTCAGGTCAAACCATTTCACCTTCAGCCTGCTTCGAATGCCCCTTCCTCCTCCATGAACCTATCAAAATGAGCTCTCACACCCCCGTCATACCTGCCTCTGACTTTCACCCCTTCCCCATGGTGATCTCTGTGAGACTCTTTGCCTTGGCTCTTAGGCTCCAAATCAGCTCTAATGGACAGTGGCTGACCTAGTGGCTGACCTAGAGGTTCCCTGATTCAGTTCTGGTTTGGTATAAACACCACCAGTGCATGGCTTCTGAAAGGTTTCCCCTCTGAACTATACACGAAGACAGAGCAGTACCTTAAGCCTGCGTTTAAGATGATCTACATCTGTCATCTACAGAGACTGGAAAAAGATGTGTGAGAAAGAGTCCTCTGCTTGCATGACAAGAGACAGTGGTCAGTCAGGCTCTTCCAGCTGCCCGGCTGTTTCCCTCTTGATGCCTGCTGATATTTTAACATAGTCCATCAGTTGGCGAGTTACTGACAGATGCAGAAATGCCACTGAGTTGAAAACAGAAACGCATTACTCTGGGCCAGCAAGGTCAATTAATAATATTAATCACTTACATCCTGTAAACACTTTCTAGTCAGTGGGCTCCTCCCAGTAATAAGTACTTGTGGGTCCAAGTCCATAGACAGAAATCTGACAATACACTGTGGATCACAGCCACAGAGAAGTCACATATTCTGAAACTGGCTGTGAAAAGCAAGAAAGTATTCCAGGGGGAAAAAAAAAATCAGAATATTATGGGCATAATGTTCCTGCTAACACGGGGGAAAATAATCCCAGCAGATTGCAAATAGCATGAAGATGTACAAATTAGCATACAAAGTTTGTAGCTATATAGGCAATATATCTCTATTTGTTTTATTAAACATATATGCATGTTACATATGATTAGATGATGAAATAATGCATAAGCTGCACACATTCATGTGCTCAGTTGCATGCATGCACTTATAGATGCGTATACACATATGCCTTTGTTCATGGGCTACTTCACCTCTCTGGGCAGTACTCTTCTAATAATTAGATTTTTACGCTACAACTGTTCAGTTATACGATTATACACAGATATGATTTGAGTCTCTGAAAGCATTCAAGAAAATGTGGCAAAATTTAGGAAAATTCAGGGAGATATTCATTACAGTCAGCCCTCCATTTTGATGAGAACCAAATTTCATAGATTTAGCAATCTGGCACTTTCCCGTGCAAGACTGTATTTTCTGGCATTCCAGTATTTTGGAAATAATGATTTTTTTTTGTTCTGTCACCAACTTCAGACATTCTGTCTTTTGAATGGTATGAGCTCAGGCTACTGAAGAAGTATATGCTGGGCAATTTATGTTTCTTCCTGCTTACAAAACAGGTATATTCTCACAAGATTTTTAGCATTTAAAAAAAAATTGTTAGCATGAAAAAAAATAAAAATAAAATAACTCTTTTTTTCTTAATAAATACTATGGAAAAATATTTTTATGGTAACTTCCCATTTTTTACAACAAAAAATAAAGTTAATCCTCCCTTAACTGTTCATAAAAAAAAGTTAATTAAAGAACTAAAAATAACCTGAAACTGTTCATGTTTCAGTTCTCCATTTAAAACTTTGAACATTTCTCCACTTTTTGCACATTTGGAAGGTTTTTATGAGAACTAATAATTTTAGACTCAAGAAGACTGTCTTATTCTATTTTTTTAGCTAGTTAAAACAAGCTGAGTGAGCAGAACTAGTGAGGGTTATATATTGTGTTCTTTGCATGCCTCAAGTTCCTACTGAAGCTATTATCTGTAGTAAGGAAGATATTAAACAGATACTGTTCAACAGCTTCATCTTAAAATACATTTTAAAAAATGGTTTGAAAATGGAATAGACAAGTCATGATCTTTCAATAAAATTCTGTGGAAATGCTGAATGGCTAAAGCCATGTTGTGTCTCCCTGAGGGACAAATAAAATGTGAGTCTTTACTGCCCCAAAGCCATGCACAGATGCTGTGTGAGAGGATTTAGGAAAATAGAATCCCATGAAGGTGCCAAGCTGTCTGTACAAACTGTCTCCTAACACAGGGGGTTTAAGCACTATGAAATTATTTCTTCTAGTTTTCCTGCCTAAGCAGCAGAATGGCAGAGAACTGATGCATTAGCTGGTGACAAAAGTATGTTGGATGATTATAATTTTTTCCATGTACACTGTCTGACCAATTTTTGGAAAAAACACTGAAGGATTTATTTTTCTTAAGCAAATCAAATGACTTTTACTACAAACCCCAGCTTTTTAAAGGTGAATAAAAGTACTGCTTCATAGGATGCAATTATTCATCATGAAAAACTATTTTTAGAGCAAGACGGCATTCATCGTCTGTCTGTTCTATTGACTTACCTGTACAAACTGAAAACAAAATGAAACTTGAGGGATCACATGCTTTGGCACATTTAATAAAAACTGAATTGTTTGTATGGCTTTGTTAGACCTGTAGCATGTTCAAGGGGTTGTATAGGTCTTCCAGCTCTTACATGCCTTGTTAGGATACACATTTCTGTGTGGCTCTATTTATTAAATTCGAGCTATTAAAGCAGCTTTATAAAGCTTTGCTTGTTTAGTTTAGTTAGGTGATTTGTAAAAGCTAAAAGAGTTAGGCTAAGGTTGAGTTAGGCAGTTGGTTATGTTAGGTTCCTTCTCTCTGGTACCCTCCGATGCTTGGTATCAAAGCATCTGAACTTGAACAGGGCAAGCTTTTCTTTGCATTGCACTGCTTACCTGATACCATTCTTTGAGCATTAAAAACCATGAATAATCACTCCATGTTCACCTTATCCTTGCTATCATGATTTTATAGGCTTCTGTTAGAGCCTCTCACAGTCTCTTTTCTAGGCAGTAAAGTCCTTGTCTATTTAGAACCTCCTGATACAGAAGCTGCACTTACGTGTGATTATGTTTGCCGTACTTCTGTATGTGCTTTGAGATTCAGAGATCAGAGCAGCATGCAGCTGTGAATGCAAAACAGACTTTTCCAGTGTCATAAAGATGTTTTCTGTATTGTTCTCTAGTTCTTTTCCCAAGATTGTTAGCTTTGTATTTCAGAACCTGTCAAAGTATACAATGCTATTTTCTCCCAAATGCGTCACACTTTATCAATCCTGAATTTCCTTCGCCTCATCACTGTCATAAACCTCTTCTGTAATTTCTTTGAGATTTATTTTTAATTTCACTATCCTCAGTAATACAGTGTCATCATCAAACTTTGCCATCTTATTATTTATTCCCATTTCCAGATGACTTAGGAGCATCTTGGTCAGTATCACCTTCAGAACAGATGCTTTTGGGACTCCAATGGTGAACTCCTTTTACTCTGAGATGCAACCAGTCCTTCCAGTGCTACGCTATCTTGATTATTCCCCACTGTACTGCACTTGTTCATATATCTATTGGCTTCTTTATTAAAGTTCCTTCCAATGTCTCTGATTTAGACATTAGATTTCTAGGTCTGTGGTTCTCTGGAGCCCTTCTGAAAAACTGTTACCTCTGTCCCTCTGATTCCTCAGCTGCTGGGGCTCAAGTGCTACATTAAACCTGCCCAGTTAATACATCAATTATTGCACATGTGAACTCTTTTAGGATTCCTGAGTGAATACTAGCTTATTCCAGACAGTAGCTTTTATTCATTTTATTGATTCGTTCTAGAACCTTTGCTGTTAACACTTCAATAGATAGATCCTCCAGTGACCTGTTTGAATCTACTTGCCACAGAGGTAGGAAATTCCTCAAGTTCTTTTATAATCAACACAGATGCAAATAATGCAGTCACTTCTCTCCTACTGTTACAACTTCTTCAAATTCCTTTTCTACTCTTTTGATCATCCATTTATCCTTGTACTCTTTGGTAAGTCTCATGGTTTTGATATATTTGAAAATGGAATTATGATTTCTTTTTAATTCAAAACCTTTTTTGGCCTGCTGAATAGCTCTCACATCCAACTAGCTTCAGTTTATGTTCTGTTCTATTTTCCTTCTAAAAAGTATCTCCTTATTTCTTACAGCCTCTTTCATCTGACTGTTTTTCAATACCAGTCTTTTTCAGGTCTTAAAGTAATATGTAATCACGTGTTTTCCCTGGCTGGGTTTTTCCTGCTCTGATTTGTTTCTAACTTCCCACTGTATGTCACGCTTTCTGTATGGAGTACTTGTTAAAAGATATTTTGGACTGACTGACTGTGGGTGTCCCTGTCTGCTCCAAAAAGTCATTTATAGTTACTAAAAATTTAGGTCTTCAAGTTGCAAAAATATGTGATATTTACATGGGAATAAACAAAATCTCCAATTATTACTGTGTTTTCTGTCATCACAGCCTTTATGATCTCTTTGAAACTGTCAGTGTTACAGTCCTGGCTGTTTGTACCATAGCTCGAATACAACATTTATCCCATCTATGAATGGGACTTCAAACTGAGAGGCATCTGTATTATCCATGGATATAGCTGACTATCTATTTTCAGTGCATAATCATAAAACACCACGTTGAAACCATCTAATCTGCTCTTCAGAAAGAATTTATACCTTGACATTAAAGTGTTGCCCAATTATTTTTTCCCTACAGTTTCTGTTGTGCCAATTAGGTAAAAAATCCACATTTAAAGCTTGCTGTTAAACTCACCATGAATTCTGTTTGAAGTAAATGAGAACATGCAACCGCTTCTCGAAGCTGCTGCCGTGTGAGGATACGACCAGCTGACTGTAGGTATTCCATTGCTACCTTTTCTCGTGGGGTTGGCACAGTGATGAAAGGCTCAACACTTCCCAAACTGCTCATATCCAAAGTCAGTGAGACATTGGATCCTCGTCTGCATTAGAAAAGAATTAAAACAGTTATATTACATCTGTGTTGCTGTTAGTCCCACACTCATGCAACTGATTCTGAGTTATTTATGCACCCTGACTTTCTCTATAGTCCCTGGGAGATTTGGCAGTGCAAAGACTGCAAGACTGTTTTCACTGGTAGTACTGGGTGGCCAGAAATCCAAGATCTTACATATCATCCTGCCTCATGAATCTAACAACCGATGCTGCAATAACAGTGTGCTAGGGAGCAACTATTTGGATTATTCTTAGAAGTAGAAACAGCTCCCTATATGCTACTTAATCATTCTGGATGTCAAACGTGGAAATGATATCTTAGTGAGGAAGAAATGTTTCATAGAAAACAAAAGGGGATATATTTCTAACTGATACATATAACAACCTGGAAATAAATTCACAGTTACATCAGCTTTATGTTTAAGAATCTACTCAAATTAAATATACAGAATGGAGTGAAAAAAAGTGGTAAGATCAGCAGGCATAAGTGGAAAGGCAGTGCAAACAGTGTGACCACCAAGAGAGTGGACCATGTCTCAGGCTAGGCAGGACAGAAGGGAGAGGCAATAAACCACAATAAATGAGCTGCATCCCAGGAGGAGTGGTCACAGAGGGGTTATTTGGAAATGCCAAACACCTCTTGCAGGACAATCAAATCCATCAACATTGCACATTTCTACAGGAACATAAAATTGCATTCAACAACACCTTTGAGCAATGAAAATACAAATAAAGCACACTTGTTACTTTCTCCAAACAACACTTAAGAAAACTGTCTTTTTTCATAGTTTCAACCCATCAATCAAATGTTATCTACGCAAACCTTACCTTCAGGTATATTGATTGCAATAAATCTATGCTTTCTGAATCGTGATGACTAAACTCCTGCTGGGTGAGAGTGGCTGCACACCGCTCCGGACACTGGGATGCTGGTAAGGTACAACTATCCCTTTTACAGTAATACCACATATTATTATAAATATCATACAGGAATCACCAGATAGTATCTGTGAAGCAAGTGTTACTAATATTGGGGGAATGATTTCTCTAGTCTTCAGCAAAACTTGCTTGTGTTAAAACTTGCTTTTTACTGCTTTTTCATTATTAACCAGTGACCCAAATGTATTTGTATGCACACATGTTTGAGAAAATCACTTTTCTTTGCAGACACTGTGACTCCTTACTTAGTGCTGGTATTACTGTTCTGTTTTCTAACCTTCTTCTGCCACCAGAATAAGTACTCTTAGGCTTTATAATTTTCTTCTTTGTTTTTAACTATATGAACACTTTTTTTTGTTCTGACACCACTTAGATGCACTTCCCTTCCTCTTATCCATGTCAACAGATCCTTCAGTAATTTTGTTATAAATTAAACCATTTCTATCATATCAGTCTGCATGAATAGAAATTCCTTCAATCATTCACCTGACCATAAAACACAAAGGAACAATGGCCAAGAGACAAGACCACCCAGTGGAATCAGTGATCCCACATTGTACCACAGTGTCCATAAGCCTATTTCAGCTTAGGTGATGGGGGGGTGATAGCAAGAGCTTTGCTGTCCAGGCCCACAGATGGTAACAGTGAGTCAGTGACAGAAGCAGAGGCAGAAGAGGCAAGATGGAGCTGGCTGCCTCCAGGGTTAAACGAGGACAATTGCTGTTGGTAGAGGGAAGTAGGAGGGGTACAGTTCCACTAACTTTGCTAGGAGGTAGGCAGAAATGAAGTAGCATCCTGAGCAGAGATGACTAGTAACTGATACATGCATAAGCTACCGTAATGCTCTGTGGCTCGTTACAAACCCTGCATCATACTGAAGCCCCAGTCGGCAGTGCCAGTACTTGTACCCAAATCCAGAGCTGTGACAACCTGGGAGGTGGGCATGCCACGAGCCAGCTGTGGTGGCCTCACTCTGCTGGAGCCTATGGAAGGTGCTGGCTCACATTCCCATTCCAGCTCACTGTGGACTGTCCCTGCCTGTGCAGGAAGCCTGTCGCCCAGCTCCATGTTGGGGGAAGCCAGTCCCCCAGCTCCATGCCTCTTCTCAAGGAAAACTTTCTGTTAGACCGCTTTCTCACAAAACCCTTCCTGAGAAAGCACCTCTTCTGACCATCACTAGCGGTTTATTCCAAGGAAAAAGTCCCTCAAACAGGTGTCTCTGAGGGCGTATATAGCAAACCCAGTGTTTTGACAACAATCCAGAAATCCACAGGTGTGTAGCGAATCCCTCCAAAACTGTTTAGGCTGAGAAATGGGTAGTGATTTAGACCCAAACATACTTCTGGGAGAACTTACTGAGATTTCCTAATATAGAGGAAAAGTATTTGCATTGTTCAGTAACAAAGTACAGTGAAAATGTTAATATTTTCTTTGGCTTTTACATTGTTATAACTGACAGTCTTGGCAAAAAGGCTGCTTCCTTTACAACAACAACAAAAAATATACCTGATCTAATTATAACTTTGAGTTTACAGCTTTTACCATTTATGGGAATTACTGATGAATACCGGTGTTGAGAATCAAATAACTTAGTCTGGAGAGAAGAAATAGTTTTTAGCTGCACATTTAACACATTAAAAACTACACACTGAATAGAAACTGGATACGGGCAGAAAATAAAAGATAGCAGGTTTTTTAGGAAGTCCGTAAGAGGATATACAATAGATAATAGCTCTAAAGGTAACTCTTCCATAAAAACAGGCATCTCAAAGAACACTTTTGAAGTATGCTTCAGATAATAAAAGTATTTTAATAATGTTTACACTAGCAATACAACTATTGCCAATATTAATCATACAGACTATTGCACTTAAAACCATGCTGAGAAATAGGGCTGAAAACAGGAGGTATTGTCTTATTTTGAAAGATGAGGGAGGGCTTGAACCCATCGTGCACTTTAAAGTCATAATAGATGCATTTAGTCTCAGGTCCTGTTCTGGACTCCTTTGATTCTCTATGTTCCTGCAACAGTTAAATTCTTCACTTTCTGTAGAAAAGAGTAGAAAGCAAGAATTCTCTTCTCTTTTACTACCTGCATGGAAAGAGCTTAGGAAGTGAGCCCACCTTTTCCCACCTTACTGTAGGAACTGCACAAGGCTGGCCACAGAGCATCAAGGAGGTACTACCTAAAACAAAGCCCAGTTTTGGTAACTGTCCCTTCAGTAGGTTTTGAATAAAGATATCACAAACAGACCAGTGGCATTTCAAATCAGACAACTCATTTTCCTTTGACATCTATATACATTTATACACACACATATACGTATCTCCTGACTACATACGGGTATCTTCCCATTTTAAATGAGAGTGAAGGAGCCATTCACATGGGTTTTCCATTATTTATGAATACTTACAACACTTTTTGACTGTCTAAATAACTTTATATTCTTTATGCTCCCTGTGTTAATAATCTGGGCAAAATTAGAGAAGATTTTGTGATGATACACCTCCCCCAGCAGCCACTTGAGGTTGTGTCTTGATGGGGAAGAGCATCATGTGAGGAATCAGAGGAACCGTAAACATTCATGACAACATTACATTAAAATCAGCATGAGACTAACTCTTCCGAAGTTTCACCAGCTGGGACAGCCACCTCATCACTGGGTACGTGAATAAGTGCAATCAGGAAACCACTTGTGTCTGTGTATTGTCTAGTATCCCAGAGGGGGGTCTTACTACACGTTCACAGCCCTCTTTCCAATTGGGTAATAGGAACAGGTCCACTGATCAGAATCCACTGGAGTATTTTTAATAACACATTTATAGAATCAGATTTTATAACAGGCCATGATTAAAAAAAAAAAAAAAAAATTAATGCAATGTTTGTTTGAAAACTCTCAAAAGGAAGCTCCACCTGTCCACCTTGGAGTGCCACCAGGTTACTAAAGCCTATTAATCATTACTGAGGTCATTTCCAGCTCTTCCCTGACCCTAAAATTAAGCCCTAGCTGGTGATTATGAAAACCCAATTACCCCTCACGTTTTCTCAGTTGTTTATTTAAGCTGGGTAATTTCTTTAAATACACATTCCCGTGTTTATTCAGCGCTCCTGAAAAATGCAGTGCCCAGATTCCCGGTCCTCAGCTTCTCATTCTCTCTAGTGGCTTTGGAAGTGGTGGTAACGGCTGCTGCCCTCCAAGAGCCATTGCCCTCCGACCCCGGCATTGCAGACGTGGGAGGCGCTTCCTTCTGCGCCCTTGCTCCTCTGTCCCAGTGCCGAGGTTCTGCGCAGCTGAGGCGGGAGCTATGTCAGCCGTGGAGGTGGAAGGAAGCCATTAATTAGTGGGAAGAGCAGTGCTGGCTGCGGCTGCTGGGGAGGGACCTTGCTTTGGGTCCTCAGACCCCACTTGTACCAGAGGATGCTCCGCAGGGCTACTCTCCCTGCAGGGATGACAGGCAAACACCATGGCTTCCCTGTGCATTCATTTCTCTAGAGCTCACAGACTGGCTCTAGACATGGGTCCTGATTCTCTTCCCTTGCTGGTCCATCTCATCAGTAAATGCACTGAATTCAGGTGGGTTTTGCAGTGCTGCAGTTGCACTGGGAAAACACAATTAATCATATGGTTTCCACGACTTACTACTCTACCTTAAGCAGGTGCCAGACTTCACCTCCTTATCTAGTTTTATGTTTCAGTAGAGTAATTCAAAGGAAAAAAATATAAATTTGTGAAAGAAGAGCAATGGAAAAAAATAGAGGTCTCAGCATTCCCACTGCTTTTAGCAAAATAGTTAAGAGAAAACATGGTCACGTAGATGAAGAAAATGTGATATGTAAAGCTGTGGTGGGGTAATTTCACAAGTTACCTTAAGTCATTTTGCAATCAATTGTCATGGGTGGTCTTCTCTAAAGGAAATTACTTCTCAACTGATTTCAAGATTCAGTATTATTTATGTCAGTCATTTACTTAAAAAAAACCCACCCAAACAACAGGAGAGGAATACAAACTGATTTTGATAGAAAATCTGTAACTATGAATTTAAAATG